GAGGGGCTGATGTTTCAAGGTAATCACCGTCAGTTGATCCTGAGCCCAAAGATGATCACCAGAGAATGGTTTCGTTGACGGGCGAAGATAACAGAGACCGGTGAGCTGGTATGCTGCAGGTAATGCAGGAGAGTATGCAGGAATGCTCAAAACACGCCACGTACAGTGGTAGCCGGAAATGTGTGTATTTCGGGGTGAGTTCGGCAAAAGCAAAAGTAGGTAGGACTAAAACAAAAAAACAAAATGTTTCTGACAGAAAGGTACAGGGATAGAAGAAGGGCCTACAAGTACCTTTGGCTGGTCTGCCACGCAGACTTGGTACCCGTTTTCTGAGAAACGAATGTACGTATAATCGTGATTTTAGGAGTCGAAGTTTTCCAACTTCTGCAAAATGCAGCTTCTACGTTCCTTAAAGTTAAATCCGCTTCTGCAATTACAAGATCATCTAAATCTTTTTTATAGGAAATATTGACAGTGCACCTTCTCTTACATTTCAAGCTCTTATGACAGATGATAATGTACCATTTCTCTCTGAGCTATTCCAGTTAACCTAACTGCAGCAAGCGACTACATTTTTGGCATAAAAAACTCTGATATATTCGGAACAGAGTGCACAAAGTTTACCTACTTCAACGTATTAGGCTTCAACAATTCGAGACCCGTTGTTTAAATTAACAAGCATGACAACAACCGGTCTAAAACGCAAAAGCTTCGTACTGGGATTTTGGGTTTTCTGCGTTTAAGTGGGTTTGTATGGTAAGCTGTCGGCTGAAGACGGTTCATATGGCCGAACTTTTATTCACTGATAACAGAGTGAAAGTCGAATCCTTTGAGGATGATGAGCCGAATATAAAATCAGATTTTTTTGACCCGAAACCGGAGGACCTACAAACAGAGCTTCCAGACTTGCCTTTTAGTAATGAAGGCAATGATTTTGGCTCGGGAAAGGATGCATACGGCGATCTATTTCTTATGGATCCAAATGACCTGTTAGGAGTTCGTGAAGAGATTGTTGGAAGCGAATCCTCAAAAAGTGCGGAGGAAATTCCTGTTCCCAGAAATCCCGAATCCGTTCCCGTTACACCCACACGTCCTCGGCGAAGCGCCCGCAAAAAGAAACTCAAGAAAAAACAGTTCTTGAAGCCAACTAGCGTTTCTGATGATCGTGACAGTTCCGATTTTGAGGACTTTTGTCTGCCAATGACGAACTCCCCAGTCGCAGAAAGCGACCGTACTATCTGCTGGCCGAAGAATCGGCTTCCGGCCTCTAAACAAACTTATTCCGTCCGCACTGTGGGCTCTCCGATGTCATTTGATAGCTATGTTTCTCAGGGAAATTCGGATATCGTACTTGCTAAATTGGACCCGGATGTCTCCGTGCGGACTCATTCATTGTCGCGTGCGTTC